ATATATATATGTACAAAGACTTTCAGAGACCTAACACAACATTGCCATGTTTGTGTTAGCTGTACTTTTCCTCAATTTTCAAAGCAAGATGTTGGTTTCTGTAGAAATCCCTAATAGCTTTTAAACCTTCTCCATCTATGCCTAACTTGGTCAAAATCATTATTCTGGGCAATCAGTGCAGCAAAAAAAGAAGATCTGTCTACGCTTCGATCATCTCTCCATCAATATTGTTGGAGTGAATATACCATTTTTGACGCCTTCTTCAGGAACAAAACAAATTAATGTGTCTCAATACTGTGTTGTTAATGGGTGAGCATTTGGAATTAATCTGAATCCTAGTTCACTTGCCTTGCTTTCGATGAGGAAAATTGCAATATCTGGTAAAGAAGTTGAGATATTTTTGATTAAAGGAGGTGGAGGTTGCCTGGTTATAGAAGTAAAATTAGCCAGAAAATGGCCACCAATATTTAGTGATTTCCGATGCTCGACTTTTCTTGTAAACTAAATAAAAATGAAGGGTTTTGTACTTAAGGTCAACTGGGTGTTTTTCAGTAAAAATGCACAAAGAAATGTGTTTTAAAAGGCATGAAATGTGTTGGAGAAAAAAAAAGAAAGAAAATCCATAACAATTATTTGCTGTGAAAACATCATCTCTTATGTTATTTTGACGAGTGCTTGATTTGACCACTATTGCCACACAAATTATTTTCTTTGGCCTAAAACGTTTTCTTATTCTTTTCCTGACGCGAATGTAATTATGCAACTAGAGATATTACAGCTTGTCCTGGCAAAAAAAAAGAAACCAACAAATAAACAAACAAGCAAGCAAACAAACAAACAAACAAACAAACAAATGTTTATTAGTGAATACCTCTGTGCATGAATGCGATTCATCATTTAATGTTAAGAAAAGACATTGGTGATCATATTTTGCCACTCCTTCCTCAGCTTGGATGCTTTTAGAATTACCTGTACCTAAATTGTCCTGTTATCCCACATCTACCATCTGTCAGCGTTCTTTAATAAAGTAAGTTCTACTTCCTCTACTTTTGCCTCTTTTGCCTTGTACTATTTTAGTGAGAACACTGTGTTTGATCCATTTATGTGATATATGTAAGTGTGACAGAAACTGCTTCTGCCTCTTCCTAATGTTTTTGGTTGGTCGGCGGGATAGAACACTGCTATTTACATCGATCTCCCATCAACAAAAGTAGTACGACTGTTATACTCTGCTGGAATGTGAGACACCATTGGACAAAGTTGATACCACTTAGTGTCCCTCCCCACCCGCCCCTGCAGGGTTACATGTAAGCATGGATGAACTGTTAGGCTACCAAAGATAATTTGGGGAAATGGTCGGCTTTTCAAGTTTGAAATGCAGGAGATACTGTTTGTAGTATTGGACATTGCCTGGGGCCGCCTGTTTAGTTTGAGGACTGCCCTCGTAAAAAGTAATTTTAACCGTTGGTAGTTATCTAATGCAAGGTGAATCATGCGAATCGGAAAAAGAAAGAGGTCAGTATACATCGTGAATGGGGTTACTAGCATTTTAAAAACGCTTCATTAGATAAGGATGATCACATTCGACAGTAGATATCTGATCGTCATCAAACCCAAATTATGTTCCAGAAAGGAAAGTTTGAGTATATCAACGACAAAAAAAGGAAAGAGAAGAACGAAATTAAACAAACTTGGATTGGGTGAAACGATATGGAAGACACCGGGAGCAAAAGATCAAAGGAATTCACGTTTCTGTATTTAGGAGTAGACGAACATCAGATAGGAGCTGGCATCATATTGTATTCTAAAAGCTCCCTGGGCAGCTAATGACAGAATCATCGACGCTAAACTGAGCCAAAAACCATTCGACAACGGGATTCTGGAGATAAGGATCTGATAGAATTAGAGACATTCTGTGAGGAATTTAAAAAAGCAACGCAACAAATCATGTCACGAAATATGAAGATAGTAATGGAAGATTCCAATAGAAAAACGGGAAAGGAAAGAAGAGAGAACACATTTGGGCCATTTGGAATTGGTGATATCAACTATCAACTGAAGAGGCAAGAAACTTGTAGAATGGTGCAATGAAGACAAACTCACTGTGATGAACACCTGGTTCAAGAACTACCCAACAAAATGCTGGACGTGGAAGAGCCCAAGGGAAAACAAAGAAAGAACCAAACAGACTACATCTTAATACAATAACGTTTAGAAGTTGAATAACATCATAAAAGGGACGGTAAACATAATCGCGTTAGGCCTGTTGATACCGTACTCTGAGATTCCAAATT